GCCAGGGGCCGCATGAAACCCAACGCCAGCCAGTGAGCATGTGCAAAGCCCTGAGCCCAATGGAGATTTATTTCGGAGTGACTTCATGCTTCAGGTGTCACCCGCACCTCTCAACCCTAGACCATCAATCCACAGAACGGACTGGAGCTCTGATGTTTATTCCAAAATTTCCCTCAAAAAGGTCATTGATTTGGACTCAGCTGTGGTGAAAGAAACAAAAACGCGTTTCAAAATGTAACAACTTGCTCCACCCCTGAAATGAAATCAATCAATCACCTGGATCCATTCTGGTACTAAACGGCCACTTTACACCATCCAATCATTTCCCTGTGGACTTAATCAAGTACCGCCCTATTTTTATCTTAAAGTCTTGATTCGCTAATAATACATCAGATTATTGCAGTAAAATGGATTGTGAATGCTTTTTCAACTTGGCATCAGTGCATTTTTTGCTATTCTGAACTTCTGTTACATCTTGTCTTTCTCCAAGCAGCAGAACTGAGCTGTTTCGTTGAGCAGTCTTTTCTAATATCGGACTGTTTTAAACGTGAGTTTCTTTAAAGTGGTGCTGTTGTATAGCGTGTGAGCGCGTGTTGTGTTTTGAAGAAGGCTCACAGGATTGCAGTAAAATGGATTGTGAATGCTTTTTTCAACTTGGCATCAGTGCATTTTTGCTATTCTGAACTTCTGTTACATCTTGTCTTTCTCCAAGCAGCAGAATTGAGCTGTTTCGTTGAGCAGTCTTTTCTAATATCGGACTGTTTTAAACGTGAGTTTCTTTAAAGTGGTGCTGTTGTATAGCGTGTGAGCGCGTGGTGTGTTTTGAAGAAGGCTCACAGGAGGCCGATGGTTTTTCGGCAGGAGACTGGAGAGATCTTCCTCTCTCTCGAGCTCTGAATCGACGGGGTTCTGCTGTCTGATCCTCGCTCCACCTCTACCTCAGCCAGATGCTCTTATCAGACGCAAACACATCTGCCGTTGCTCTGCACACACACAAATGCCTGCACAACCACCGTCCATATCCTTTGGAGCACCATGAGAATCAATCAAACACAAACAAACACATTCACCTGGAAATTTAAAAATTTATTTTTAAAACCCACATGTACAGCAGTTCTATGAAGTCCTTTGAATTGCATTGCATTTTAATTACTTTGATTAATCACTTCCTTAAACTCAAATATCAATTCTGCATCAAAATAAATGTTGACATATCATTTTTTTGTGATTTTACTTATATTTTTCATGTATATACAACTATACTGATATAATCTAAAAAAATGCCTCATTAAAAGGATGAAATATTTCTTATGATAATAAATATTTGAAATAATTTTAACACAATTTCATGAATATAGTGAAAACATTACCGTTGCTCTGCACACACACAAATGCCTGCACAACCACCGTTCATATCCTTTGGAGTACCATGAGAATCAATCAAACACATAAACAAACACATTCACCTGGAAATTTAAAAATGTATTTTTAAAACCCACATGTACAGCAGTTCTATGAAGTCCTTTGAATTGCATTGCATTTTAATTACTTTGATTAATCACTTCCTTAAACTCAAATATCAATTCTGCATCAAAATAAATGTTGACATATCATTTTTTTGTGATTTTACTTATATTTTTCATGTATATACAACTATACTGATATAATCTAAAAAAATGCCTCATTAAAAGGATGAAATATTTCTTATGATAATAAATATTTGAAATAATTTTAACACAATTTCATGAATATAGTGAAAACATTAAAGTTGAAAGATTTTTAAAAAAAAGCAAGCATGAATGTCCACCCATAAACCTAGCCCTCAGTGAAGCATAAGGAGATCGTATGAAAACCTATTACTAAAATCTTAAAAATTAATTTGAATTCACCAACAATTTGCCAAAATGTAAAATAGTTGTGAATTCCCCTGAGAGTGAGTATTAAAAAAAATGTTTTAAACATTATTTATTAATTAATAATATATTAAATGGTCAAGATTACACCAAATTTACTTTGTGTACGTTTTGTCAAACAAAACTGTTTACCTTGAAAAATATATATTTTAAAACCTTTTGTTAAAAATTCTTATACTTGATGACTACTCCACATGACATTTTTAGAGCCATTAAATTGAAAATGTTTCTTGAAAATGTTATAAATGTTTTTCAAAACTAAATGGAACAAGCATGAATAGAAAGTGTATATTTCTAGGATCTTGACAATATATTTTATACTAGATTTTTTCTTTGTCTTTACCGTGAACATTCTTATGTGTCATTGACTCAAGTATGTCTTGGAGAAACTGTGTGTCGGCACGTGTGGCATAAAGCGACTGTGGACCCCGAGTGAGTGATGAAGGACTGTGTGTTTGCTGTAATCTTCACTGCAGACCCCTGGGGAGCCCCGAATGACGTGGTGGCCCACGGTGAGATTATACTGCACTGCGCTGGAATGGGTGGAGAGAACAGGATCCATCAGTACTGTCAGCACCCAGTCCAACAAACAACACCCAACATCTGACCGGCACATATCATATTTTGTGTATTTTACAGTCATCAGAATGTATTAGGTATATACATGCTTTTACTCTCACTCCCATAAATACTCAATGACACTCACACACACACACACTCCCTTGCCATTTACAGTGAGAATGTGCCACTCTTCACCTCACCTTAACAATGTGTGATTTCTCTCTCTCTGGATCTCACAATTGACCCAGATTTCACTCTGTGGTGTTCCTGCACCCACACATAATCGCTTTTGTTTTATGCTTTTGTATTATTTTCATACTCAAAGCCTTTAAGCTTTCTTCAGACAAAATAACACGGGAACGTGTGTGCTTTGAAAGCTCACGTTATATTCCAGACACAGTCTTGCCACCTACTGCTTTTCTAATCAGCTGCCGGTGCTGACCACGGGATCATGACTGATGTCCCATCTCCCTCCCGTCTCTGCTTCCTGCTGCTTCACAACCACCTGATTTCATATTCACTTTTTATCTAAAGTGTCATTAATTGGATTAATTGTAGAATGAAACCCGTGTTATTTAATAGAGGAGGAAAATACAGGGTTTGGGTGGGGATTGATATCTCACACTACAGAACACACACACACACACACACTCACTAGCAGCACACAGACACGTGTGGCCTAATCTCAGATGCAGTAGTAAAATGAAAATTTATGTGGCAGTGTTGATAAGAGCAAAGGATTCTTATCTGAGTCCAAGATAAATGCTGAATCTTTTGTGCTGCCTTTAAAAACTGGTATTTTTTTTCAGTCTGTTATGCTAAGAAGGTGATGCAGCTGAAAAATGAAATTAAAGAAAGTAAAGATGATGAGACGTGAATATAGGAGGATGCATAGTGAATCATATGGATATATTTGTATGGAACAAACGAGGAGGTCTGTAATACTTGGATCATTGCCATTTATTTCAAAATTCAACATGCATTCAGTATTTTGCTCATGTGCATCCAGTTCTGGACATTATTTGGAGCCAGTCACTCTGGAACCGTGAAATACACTCTCCGAAAAAAGGTACAAAAGTCACTGTACAAAAGTCTTTGTACCTTATTTACCACTAACAGATACATCTTAGTACCTAAATGGCACATATTGGAACCCTTTGAAAGGGTTCTGCCCCAGTGACACCTTATAATTTTTTTCTGAGAGTGTATCACGACATATCTCCTCTTCTGAATTGTAAACATCTGGTATTATTGGCTGCTGTGTGTCTCTAGTTGAAGGAATGTTTCCTGTGTCCTGTTATCTTCATTGTGGATAGCAAACAAAGGATCTGGAGAAGGTCAGCTGAGCATGAAGTCACAAGCTGATATAGCATCTGTTCAAATGTGTCTTTCATACAGAGGCATGTGAAACTGTGATTGAAGATTTGATTTTATATACATTTTTATCCCTCTCTTTATTGTGAGATGCTTGATAAGTGGTCAAGATTGGTCAAAAGAACCAAGCTACTGTCTAAACAACTGAGGTTAACTTTTACATCACATGACCTTTCTACTGGATTGATCTACTTAGTGAAATTAAAAAAAACATAAAAAATATAATAAAATAAATCCATAACTGTGTAGAAAACAAAAATTTGAGTTATTATTCACTGATAATATATCATGTTGTCTTTCACAGAATAAATTAATATACTGTAGGGTTGAAATAGCATAAAGGTGAGTAAACTATGAAAAAAAAGTTAATTTTTGGAAGAACTAGTCCTTCAACCTTGAACAATGGATTAATTGGTTAATTCATTTAATACACCAATACTGCTAATTTATGTTAATGAAAAAAAGTGTTTGAAAACAAGCAGCTTTGTCATAAATGCATAAGAAATACCAAAAATAACACCAGTCACAAAGGTTGAGAACCACTGTTCTAGAATGATAACATGTAAATGTGATAATGTTTTTGTTGTTGTTGCAATAACACGTAATGTTTATGTGTTCTTTGGTGTATTTCATTGTATTTTTATAGGATCGTTGTATATTGAATAACACCAACAATATTTTTATATTTTAAAATATAGAATAAATATAAAATATGATGTAAAATATATTTACATTCTACGGCCAGAAACATACTTTACAACGATCGGTAAGTTAATGAGGTGCACGCCGACACATTTTGGAACGCAACGTACGTGCGTTACGTATATTCCTGTCTTGAAAATCACATTACACGGCAAAACCGACTGTGCAAATCAAAAACACACATAAAACGATTCAATCATAAAAAAGCAACACACCATGAAATGCCAAGCCCTAACAAAACACACAAGACAAACACTTGTTGTCACAGACGTGTTGTCACAATGTTTCACAATATATCATCCCCGCCGGTGACTCTTAGCGTTCACGAGCCTGCATGCTATTGGCTCTGATCTCTGCCCATCATCTCAGGCGCTGATTCATGGTTAAAGCACTAGCCCCGCCTCACAAAACCTAAGCGCTGATTGGCCACCCGGCGCGTCCGCGTCGCGCATGCAGCCAATGCGCTTTAGACGGGTCGTGCGCTCTCGGAGGTTCCTCAGAGAAAGCACACTGGTGGCAGTACGGAGCGGTAGCGCGAGCTCAGTACGACGAAGAGAACCCAACGAGTCCACATCGCGCGACTTTAGCGAAGGGAGAGAAAGAAAGAAAGAGAGAGAGAGCCTGCATCTTAAAACCAGCCGTTATATCTGGAGAGGGTCGCCGCAGCCTGGAGGGGGAACGAGGGATTTGATCAGCACCGTTATTTTTCTTTTGTGTTTTCTTTCTTTTTCTTTTTTTTTTGGAGAAGGATTGTGAGCGTTTGTGTGCAAAGATGATGGTCGGGGAGATAGAGGTGAAGGAGAGACCGAGGCCGAGTCCCGACTATCTCATGCAGTTATTGAACGAGAAGAAGCTCATGACTAGTTTACCGAACCTGTGCGGCATCTTTACACACCTGGAGAGACTCTTGGACGAAGGTACGTTTGTGTAAACCTGAACCACGCGTGTGTATGTGGTGTTTTGCAACTTCACAAAACTGTCTGTTTTCAGCGAAGGAGACTCAAAATGACGGTTAAGGTTTCTTTTTTAAAGTAGACTTGCGTTTTGGGGTCTGGTTCTAAACGGTTAAACCGCTTTGTACCGTATTTTACCGTTAGAATTTCAAAGTATTTTTCCCGTCAGTTCGCGTGTGAGGGTCGCTAGCGCTGTTAGCAGTCTGCTAAATCCGCAACTTTTACACGTCGTCATATTTACTAACTTTCACGTATTTACCATCAAATGTAAGATCTTTTACGAGTTTATTGTTTCTCTAAATATTTATTTTGTGTTGTAAACGTCACATTACTAGGCGTTTCAACGGTTCCTAACTTTTTTTGGGGTGTGAGTGGCGTTAGCCGAAGTTAACGTTTGTAAGTTAGCTGCACAGAAGAAACTTCACGTTTATTTTTCGATTGAAATCGCATTATTACATGTTTATTTATTCGGGTATGAAAAAAATGTATATCTGTACTCAACACAAAGGATTTCATCAGAACAATTAGCTGTTAGTTTGCAGATTAAGATTTTTGTCCCTGAGGCGTGCAGTTGAGTTTTGCATAAATGCTCCCTATGGAGAGAGGGTGAAAGAGAAACACATAAATGCCTATACACAAATGTGTCAATAGTACATCATAGACCACTGTTTTTAATCCCAGATATGTTTTTGCATATAAAGCTTAATTTTTACCACACAACCTGAGAGAGGGAGTAAGAGTCTGCGTGACTGATATGCAGCAGGTTTCTCTCTTAATGCAGTTTGAGTGTCTGCACCGTCACTCACGCGCTGTTCGTGTCTGAAATGCATGTAGTTTATAGTAAGGCATTAATCTCATTCTGTTCCGATCCGGAGAGGTTTGAATCCCCCCTCACACACACACATCCAGTATCTGTCTGTATTAGTTTCATGAAGTGCACGAATGCTCGTGCTATTGACATGCAAACACGCGGCTCTGTTTATCTTGTAACAAAAAGGGACGAGCAGCCGCAAAATCTGCCGCAATGTTATCCAATATCAGCTTTGTTTGCGCTCGTATTCTCTCAGCTTGTTGCAAAATCACCCTGTGCGTCACCGGATAAACTAGTTTGGTTTGACTGATCACAAGTCCACATTCCGACACTCAACCCCAGGAACCACACTTTAGATTGGGAGTTTGGTTTTGACTTTGTCCAGACGCACAGCTGAACTTCTGCCAAGTTCCCGACTGGACTTGACTTCTCTTTTTCTTATGTTCAATATGGATGCACATTTTTTTTAATTTTGTTTAATTATAGGGTAAAACTCGTTTTAAAGGGATAGTTCTGAAAATGAAAATTCTGTCATTTATTCAATGAAGAATGTTGTTAACCAAACTGTTTTGGTGCCCATTGACTTTAATTATATGAAAAAACAACAACAGCACCACATTTTTCAAAATAGGCGCTTTTGTGTTCCACAAAAGCAAGTCTAGAATAGTTTTGGAAAGACACGAGGGTGAGAAAATGTCATAATTAAATTTTTTGCTAGAACTATCCCTTAAATATTTTAGTATGTAGACTGTGATGAGCTACCAAGCTATAAAAGTTCTTACATCTACAGTAGGACTCTTTCCTCTCTTTAAATACGTAAATGGCATAGATGTGTTTCCTTAAGAAGTCTTCTTGGTCCTTTAGCATCTCCATGAGAGAATTCTCATGAAGATGTGTGCTCTGACACCAAACAGTGAGGTGTTAGTTCCTCCTGCAGTGATACAGCCTCATGTTTGTGTATCTGGACTTATTCTGCTCTGTTTACCTGAACTTTGCTCTTCTCGCGCTGTAATCAGTTCTCCTCAATCCACTCAAAAATGAGCTGAAACCGCAGAGGACAACTTCATCCTTCCTTTTTTTTTCCTCTGAAACACATTTCTTTGAACACACACATGGATTGGACTAGGTGTAAAATCTCTGCTACGCTCAGCTAAATTTGCATACTGATTTGGCTATGCAAATGAGCAGCTCAGGGTGATGTGGGCCAGTCGTGTATTTGTAACGGTAAATACTCAGACTTAATGCGTAGGGAGGGAAATTTGTACAGCAACACACAGCGTCTGCTATCTCTCCTGACCTCTGCTTTACATCAGACTGATATGGGTTTTTAAATGCCTGATACTAATGTCTAGACAGCAGCGTGATATAATTAAATGAATAATATTTATTAAAATCCGAAAAAATGTTTGAGGATGTAAGATGTGCAATATTGATTGGCAAAGCTGGCGGTAGATTGTGGCGCTGAACAATTTTTTCTGTTAATCGGACAACGTTATTGATGTGAATAATCACAAAATGGACAAATTGGCTGATGTGTTGGTCTGTCACGAGTTTTAGAAAGGACATGTGCTCCATCTTGACTGTGTATTGCACTGATCTAAGATCAGGTTTCACTCCAGATCTGTGCTGTCACAGGTGAACAAAGGTGAGAATGCAGATTAGCTGAAAAAGGCATTAGCAGAGATTGAACTGAGAAGGTTAGACAGATGGTAGTATTTTAGGTACTTCATTAAGCATTACTGTTATTATTTTGGTGTGTTCAATTATGCGTAAATAAACCACAGACTTGAAAGCTTTTCAATGCAGCTTCACACATTTTCTGCTGGATGAAAGAAAGACAATGTGAAGGTTTGGAGGTGAAATGTTTCTCTGAAATGGCTTTCTCAGTTGTCGTCTTGTAAGAGTTCTCATGACAGCTGTGCAGAAACGCTCATAACTCGAATGGATTGTGTGTGTTTGCAGCTGTTGTCATGGCAAAGGAAAACCAACACCCTTACGTCTCCCTCGTCACCCTTTCTGTTCCCCACACAACAACTGCTCTCCCTCCCTCTCTCCACACCGTTCGGGTATGTGTGTCAGGCTGACGAGAGAAAGACAGGTTTGCAGCGTGCTTGTGATCTTCAGAGGTGACCCTGAGGGTGTTTTTAGAGCTGTCTTTGATAAGTTAGTGGCAGCTGAGTCCAGTGTCGGAACTCAATGCAGGCGGTGTTCAGAAATGGACACAGCGATGGAAGGAAAGAGTCAAGGTTAAAGATCTTGATTTTTTCACGGTCATACAGGTTGTCAGGAAATTATTCTGTCTTGAAATGGTTTGTGTTTTCTGTGGCTCTGACAAATATGTGCTGAATTTTCAGCAGCCATTACTCCAGTGTCACACGATCCTTCAGAAATCATTCTAATATGCTGATTTGGTGCTCAAGAAACATTTCTTAATGTTGTAAACTTTAAAATTGTAAAACATTTTGTGGAAATCATGATGCATTTTTTTCTGAATGAATAAAAAGTTAAACAGAACAGCATTTATTTAAAATAAAAAATCTTTTGTAACATTATATATGTCTTTACTGTTACTTTTGGTAAATTAATGCATTTTTCATTAGTGTAGCTGCATTTATGATACAGTCCTCTGGAATAAATATAAATCTTGATTCTGATTGGTCAGTGTATAAACTGTACAAGTACCAATACCCCACTTCATCAATGATCAATTTCTTCATTAAATACTGTACTCTAAAAGTACAGTAATTTAGTTGCAGCATTCGTATTTGAGGTCTTTCCAGGTGCTAACAGGAAGTGATTCTTATAGGCTGGGACCTGTGGGACCTCTTACAGCATCTAGTTTAATTAGCTAGCTAGATCCATTAGCCTAGGTTCTCTGCTCGAGCCAGGGTTCAGTAGATTGAATGTGCAGATAATTTTATTCTCTCTATCTTTGTTTCTCTCTCTTTTTCTGTGTCCTGCTGGGCGGTGATAAATTGGATAGCAGGAAGAGGTTGACAGGGTTAGCGCAGGGAATAGAGGAGTCTCGCTGGTGTGTGTGTGTGAACTGGCCCCTGACTCGGCCCTTGTGTGGCCCCTGATAAAGTCATGTCTCTGTGTGTCAGGCGATGCCCCTTTATCAGGGGGGTCTCTCTGACAAGCACAGGGGTTTCTTATCAGACTGCCCTGCCAGCACCACTGTCCGCCGGACACCGCACTGACACCAGCACACACCCTTCAACAACTTTTCCATCCATGTACAGTGAAGAATTTATTTTGTTGGTTCAGTTGTAGCTCTCGTTGAATCAGATCACAACTTCTGTTTCGCCACCGTAGCTGGGAGCATGATAGGCTGAAGCTGATGCAATGATTCAAACACGGTCACTAACTTCCTAACTACACTCATGCTCATGTGCTTCCCGTAGAAGGGCTTTCATGGGCCAGCTCGCACAGGAACAGGCTGATTCAGTGTTTTTGAAAGAGGAGGAGTCCTTTTCATAAGAACAGAAAAACAGTTTCTTAACAAAAAGTCATGCTTTATAGCATGAGGCAGCGTGTGTGTCTGTAGTTGTACTGTGGTTAGGAGCGGTTGGTCTTTAGCCTCTCTCTCTCTCTCTCTCTCTCTCTCGTTCGTTCGTTCGTTCGTTCTGTAGTGTGGGGAAGGGCCTCACCCTTTCACATTCCACAACTGCCTGAAATATTTCCACACCCCTTCACACTCCTCTTTCATGCCATTTCTGTGCTGTTTTTCTCTGTTTTACAACCAGCAGCTTGGAGACACTGTGTTTGCCTTTGCATTTTCCTCTCTCTAATTGAGCAACAGAGGAATTGTTTGGCTAAATCAGACAGTATTCCTCAGTGCTCATCTACACATTCATTAAGCAATTGAATTTGTCTAATGTTTGTTCTGTCTCTTTAAATGCTTTAGTTCGGCATAATTATGATCACGCTTATTTCTTTTGGGCTGGAAAATTGTCCTTGAATTGATCTACGTGGACCGTGGCCTCAGCCAAAGTTGGTTCTGTTTGACTGTCTCACCCTGTGATTTCAACTATTCACCTCCAATTTGCTCTCAGCAGCAGATAGGAAACACTGCAGGTTTTATTTCACTGCAGAAATTGGTGTCTCCAAACCAATGTGTTGATTCTTTTTTTCCTCCTCCCTGTCTGTTTTG